GCAGGGGGTGAGCTCGGATCTGCTCAAGTACATCCTCTCGAAAGCGTCCCAGTAAAGGACTTTCACGCTGCTGCTCGTATCCACCAGGATTCGCATGACAATGGCATTCTTGATGTCCATGCTGACGACCAGCTCGTCCCTATGTGGTTTTGGAGCTTTGGGTAGGTCTTCTGGTCCCAAGCAAATAGGCTCGACCCTATGTTTCTTGGCGGGGGTGCGGATATGGCTCCCACATAGAGGGCCTTTTCAAATTTCTTTCGTTCTGCCGTGGTATCTTCGGTTTCCGCACCTCCGAAGATCACCTTGATCTCTAACTTCTTCCTCTGGCCGTTCAGCCCAAGCTGAGGGACCCCTCGGGGCATTTATCGACATGGCGATAGTCAGCATCCTTGACCTCCGCCTCCCGCCGGTCGTCCCTCCGCCACGTAAGTGGCTTCTTGTACTGCTGCTTCTGGTTCTGGGTAGTTGGTTCCCTCGTGAGCTCTCCGAGGTAGCCCCTCCGGATGAGTTCGTCGATGGACATCCTCAGTCTGTTGCAGTGGTCCGTGTTGTGCCCTTCTTTGCGGTGATATTCGCAATAAGCATCGAGGTTTTTTCCCATCGGACCCCTGGCGATCCGGGGCTCTTCGAGCATCCCCTTATCCTTGATGGCCTCAAAGATTTGGCTCACCGTGAATGCTAGGGGGCGTACCCAGGGTCCTCCCACCGAACGTCGCCTGAATGGCCCTGATTTCCCTAAGGTGCGTAACCTCCGCTCACCTTCTTCTTTTTCATCACAGGGGCCTCTGCCGATCCTGGCCCCAGACGATCTGCCAATTTACGGGTCGCGGGTGCAGGCACCCCATCTCTCTTAGCAATCTTCTCTTCGATCGCCGCATACTTATATGCTCTTACCAGCACCTCGACGTAACTGCTCCCGGGGTTCCTCTTTAGATCTCTGTAGAGATCCCCAGTTATCAATGTGTTAGTGAAGAGAGTGATGCTTGTGCACTCTGTAAGGTCTTCGACCTTCAGAGTCTCATCCATCCACCTTATGAGGAAGGTGGATAGGGATCCCCCCTTGTTCTAGCGGTCGCTCATCAGCCAGCTGAAATGTTTCTTTGGTGTAGAGCTGGAGGCGAACTGCGCCATAAACTGTCTGGAGAGCTGCTCAAAACTGTCGATGGTCCTGGGTGTGAGCTGCCTGAACCACTCCTGCGCCGGTCCCCTGAGGGTGCTAAAGAAGAGTATGCAAATGGCCTCATCGGAGGCTCCCAGCATGGAGAGTCCTCCCTGGAAAGAAAGTAGATGGGCTTTCGGGTCCCCAGCCCCATTGTTCATCAAGGCGTCGGACGGCCTGCAGTCCCGTGGGATCTGTGCACCCATGATCCTGGCAGATAAAGGTGAGGAGAGCGCGAACCTGGGTTGAGCTGCATCAGTCTCCGCCCGTCGGCTCAGCTCGTTGATATGCCTTTGAAGGTCCACAAGCATCACATCTCGTGGGTCAGTGGTAGCGGCCGTGGGGTTTACCAGTGCCAAAGTATTCCTTGTACGTTCGGCGTCCCCGCCATGATGCCTGTTATTCAAGCGAGCATTCTATCCCAAGCCGTTGACCGTGGGAGTCGGCTCCCTGGCCATATGTTCATTCCGGGGCATCACCGGGGTACGGTCTCGGACCGCATGCTGCTGCATTCCTCTTAAGACCATGTGCCTGGTATCCCCCCATGTCTAGGGACTGGGTATTTCTGATGATCCTCATGTGGACTGAAGAGCGAGAGTCAGCGTTCTCGCCCGTATGCTCGCCGAGCGTCTGCATCGAGCGGAGTGGAGAGAACGGTGTACGCTCTGTGTTAGCGGAGTACACGCGTTCTGCCTCCCGCTCCTCCGCCAATCGGCGGATGGTGTCCACCATTTCCCTCAAGGCATTCGGGCCCCGTCGGACCTCATGGGGAATCATGTTGGTGAGTACCCCAAGATCCCCGCGGCTCCACAAGCTGCTGGATTGTGCGCCTGCCGCTTGAGCGCGGGCTCTTCTGCTGCGTGACAGCCGTTCGGAGAGGTCCTAGGAGTTCCCTGCATTGTTTCCTGCCATCTTACTTGTTTTAAACTTTTAGGAAGTGTTTATTTAGTTGAGAGCTTGGTTTTGGAAGAACTTTTTGATTAGTTTCCCACAGACGACGCCAGTGTTGAGGTTTATTCCTTCAATCCATAGGCTCAACACGTAACCCAAGGATTTCGAATGGAGAGGTAGTAGAGTAGATGTTAGAACAAGTAAAGATGGGCCAAGTAAACCGTAATAGGTATGTTGTATTCTATTAAGTCCAAATAAGTAAGCAATTACAACAAAGGTCGTTCGTACTGAAGTAAGCTACGAGCTCATAAGAATGCTAGAATGCCAGAGTGCTAAGTTGCCAACCTTTTACAATGAATTAAATGCTACTCCCTCTGTCCCGCTAACAATGGGACAAGAGGAAGTGACACGCAAATTAATAAAAAGTGGTTTATGTGGTTGATATTGAATTGATAAAGTAAGAATAAAGTAAGAATGATTTAGAATCACACAAACTTTACCAAATTTGGTATGAGACAATCTTAGTGGGACGGATCGATAAGGTAAAATGGGGCAATCATAGCGGGACGGAGGTAGTACTATTTATACCGCCAATAGGTAGCTAGATAAACTGACGTGACGGGCTGTGGATGGCCAGGGTCCTAACCACCAAATCTTTTGCAATAATTGCGCTTCCCGCCAGAATCCATGCTTCCCCGCCAATGGGTGGGGACGAGCGTCCCCATAGGCTTGGTCCTGTGAATAAAACATGTTTGTGATGAACATGTTTTGGCCCATGTATGTACTGTGTACAAAAAATGTATACATAATTTTTCTCTTCATTAAATTACTCCAATTAATTTTGATCCAAAAAGTATGGAGTTTTTTTCCAAAATAATGTTAAATAAAAAAATAATTAGGAAAATAAGGTCAAGTTAAAAATATTTACTGCTCCCCTAAACCCTGGTCAAGAGAACCGCCACTTGAAGTGGCGTCTTACTTAAAGCAACACACATTACAAGAAATCCCATAAAGTGGCAACTTACGTAGAATATGAGATAGTTGCCCCACAAAAACTAAAATCTCATTTGTATTTCAATGTGATATATCTTTTTTATTTGTACTCAGATTATTACAAAAAATACACCAAAATTCATAACTTTTTATTATGTTTCATATGACACCAATATTGAATTTATAAAAAAAATTAACACTTTAAAAATATCTTTTTTTTGTACATGTTATATACTCCCTCCGTTCCCAAAAATACTTCCCACTTTCCTTTTTGGGCTGTTCCCAAAAATACTTCTCACTTTCCCATTTTGGACAATTTGTGTGGCTCACATTCATTTTACATTTTTCTTACACAACCACAATCATACATTTCCACTTTATTCCACTTTCTTAATAAGCGTGCCAAGTCAAACCGGGAAGAATTTTTAGGAACGGAGGGAGTATGTTTTATTTGTACTGCGATTGTTATAAAAAATATATCAAAATTTATAATTATTTATTATCTTTCAAAAGACACCAATTTTGAATATGTAACAGTTAAAAAATTAATTTCATTAATTTGTACAATTTAGGATTGTTTTTTACTATGCACATAATTAATCAGGAGTTATAGCTTAGAATAAAACTTCATAAAGAATAAAAAATAAATAAGGGTATTGAGTTTGTGCAGTTTTATTCTAAGCTATTACTCCTGATTACTTGTGTGCACGAAAAAACCGATTCTAACCGCACGAATCAATAGTTTTAACTTTTTAGTTTTTATATTTTTAGAATTGGTGTATTATGAAAGATAATAACTATTTATGGATTTTGATATATTTTTCGTGACAATCGGGGTACAAATAAAAAAGATATACTCCCTCCGTTCTCTAATACTTGGCCCTCTTTCCATTTTGGGATGTTCTCTATTAGTTGTCTCCCTTTCCACTTTTGGTAAGTTTTTTTAATAAATATACTCATTTATCCTCATTATCTTTCCTACTTTTTCATTCTCTTTCCTACTTTTACCTTTACACACAACCCACTACACCTTTTATCCTACCTCTATTAATTCCTTCTTAAATCTTGTGCCAAAGACTATACTCCCATCTATTAGAGAGCAGAGGGAGTCATTCACAAAAAAAGATATTTTTAAAGTGTTAATTTATCTTTTTATTTTTATATATTCAATATTGGTGTCATATGAAAGATAATAAAAAGTTATGAATTTTGGTGTATTTTCTATAAGGGAAAAAAATTTAAAATACCCCAAACTTTGAAGGGATGTGAGATAAACACCCCAAACTTGCATATGTAATTTAAATACCCCAAACTTTATATAAAAAGTTATTTTAGCACCGTGGTCATGTATTTATTCTTTCAAAATATTAATTTTTGGTGTTTATTTCATAATTTGATAATTTTTAGCATTCATAAAGATACAATTAACATTCTAAGCTTCCATTATAAAATAAATAGTATTACCCACCACTATATATAATTCTAATATTTTCAATTTGCTATTTTAAATTATGCATTTAACACCATAAATTTACATTTTTGAAAGAAATCATAAATAACCATGGTGATAAAATAATTTTTTATATAAAGTTTGGTGTATTTAAATTACATATGAAAGTTTGGGTATTTAAATTACATATGAAAGTTGAGGGTGTTTATCTCACACCCCTTCAAAGTTTGGGGTATTTTAATTATTTTCCCCTTTCTATAATTATTTGAGTACAGATAAAAAAGATATATCACTTTGAAATACAAATCAGATTTTATTTTGTGGGACCACAATATAAATTGTCTACCTAAGTCGCCACTTTATGTGAGATGTCTTGTAACGTGCGTTGTTTTACGTAAGCCGCCACTTCTAGTGGCTGTTGCCAGCAAGATCATTATTTTGGGAAATATTTTTAACTTATCTTTTTTGAGAATTATCTTTTGAGAATTATTTTTTTATTTAACATTAATTTGGGAAAAACTCGACCACTAAGAACATACGGGGAGCTGTGACACCGGATGAAAGCACTGAGCCACCGGATTTTAACGGTCAAAATTTTCGAGATTGCATATGAATCAAATTTTAGAGAGAGCAATCTGAGGTTGAGGATCAATGATGAAGCTCTTATCAAGCACCTTCCGATCCTTGAAGCCCATTCGTCCTGTCACCAAACTCAAATTTCCTTCATCATTGCCGCCTTCAGAATCCTTACAGACCGATTCATTCCAGCCTCCTTCGTTACTTTCGTCTCCACCTAGCTCTGCACCCAAATCAAAGTCGCGGTGGTCGGTGTACTTGATCCTCTCCACCAACCCGCCTATCAAAACTTACGTCGGAGTCACAACTAATTTCACTCGCCGGTACTTTTCTCCTTTTTCCAAACCTACCCTTAAGTTCTTCAGAAGTCTATACTGTTTCTCGTACAAGATTATTTTTTTGGATTGCATCAGAACGTGTTGAGCTCCAAAGAGCAATTTGATCTTTCCAAGCCTTACTTTTGGATTCAAAAAATGGAAAACTGGCTCTTACCAGATAGTTTTTACTTTACCCTTATTAGGGTTTATGTCAATCAAAATTAAATCGAGGTGAATGATTCAACTCAATTAACTTAGATTAACAACACAAACGAGTCTCCAACTGAGACAATGAAACTATTTAACTAGATTCACTTGGTTCTCCTCAATCCAAGTGAATCATTAAAAATTGAATTTTGATCTAAACTGTTTAATCGTTTGGTGGAACTTGATTAGCTGAAGTAATGCTTGAGTTGTAGTTAAATATTGTATATCAATTTTATTCTCCCACCCATTAGAAGTATTGTACGTAGTATATCAATTGAAAAGTACTTGCAGTTATTTTTGAAATATATTTACACTGTTGTTTATTTATTTGGGTCACTTTTATTTCTTAATTTAGTAATTCTTAAATTTTATAGTTTAAAGCAACATAACGGTGAGCTTAAAGGAGGCGCAAAAGCATCCCGTGCCGGAAGGCCGTGGGTATGTGCATGCCTTATTCAAGGATTTAAGGACAGGAGTGAAGGTACTTATTCAGAGTTTTTTTTGTATTTCTCTTTAAGTTAACTGCAATCGACCTCTGTTATTGAGGAGAATTTATTAGAATCGTACACAAATTCAATAAAATGGCCTTAAAGATCTGATTTTTGTTGTAATTGTAATGCATGGGACGTTATGTGCTTTCGATCCACATGTGTTTCCAAGCTATGGAGGCAATGCATTGAGGAAATTGAACATTAGTTAGGCAAAGCTAGAAACAGAATAAAACATTGGCAACACAAACAATCACTAAAGCAAGCAACAACTGAACTAAACAAGTGAATTGAGATGAATGCCTAGGGTTGAAATAAGGGAAATACCGTACTAGGGTCACTACTCTCTAGCTCGTTTTTTTGGTTGTGATGCATGGAAGGCAGAAAGTAAGTATTGAGTCTAACCTCTACCCCAATCTCTGGGGAAACAGCCAACCCCTAGTGTCTAATGCTCAACTAATCCAATCTCCTTGCCGAAGTCCTTCACTCCTTCCTAATGTATCCAAGCGAGGGATTAGCTATTTCAACTCATTTATTTTAAGCATCAAACAACAACGAACAGCTAAGTTCTATTGTGGCCAAAGTCCCTTAAACAAAAAAAACAACAAGCACACTAGGCATCATAAATCAAGTCAACTGTCACATTTCTGGCCATCTAAATACTCTAGCAACCTAGATTCTCTCTAACACAAGTAAATTCAAGAAAAGAATGAATTGAAATATCAAATTAGACTAGTGAGTGAAATCTAAGGAGAATTTTTATTCAACTTTGGTGCTTTTTATGTCAAATCTGCAAGCTCCAATTGGTGATTAAAAGAGGCAAACGAACATCCATGGTTAGAATCTGGCCATGAAGTTGTTGCCAAGGTTTAGAAAGGCTGATTTGGATATCGAGGCAGTTTCTTGTGGAGAGGCAGGCGTAAGCCTCAAAATAAACCAACAAATAAAACTTAAAATAGTTAATTTACAAAAAACCAACCAAAGATATGCATAATTCTAAGTCCACAAAAGTGACAAAACACCTTATGTGATCACATCATCGAACATGACAATTCAAAATAAGAATTGTAGAATTCAAACACACAAACAAACTCATCACACAGATGACACAATTTATAAATGTGGAAGCTTAATCACCATATCTTATAGCCTTATCACCACCATCCCATCTATCATCACTTCCAAAATCTTCCCATTCTTGTCATTTTGCAGGAGTATGACAATATTTTAAAGATGTTCCACTTGCCAGACTTGTTAGGGTTTAGCAAGTATATGTGCACACTTGTTTAGTGTATGGGCCTTATATTAAAAAGAACTACTGGGCCTTTTGAAAAGCCGCCTAAAACTTGCCTAGAGGCGTAAGCCCTGACTTTTGAGGTGTAAGCCTCTTATCGTGCAAAAAATAACCCAAGCCTCAATACTTGATCTGTGCGCCTCACATTGAGGCGTGCCTCAAAACTCGCCTCTTAGCGCCTTTTTAAACCATGGTTGTGGCTACTTTTATTGTGTGCTATTAAGCAAGGACTGAGGGTTATTATAGTGTAAGAAATGATAGACTGATAGTTAATGCATCCTGTATTGAGATGTCAGGATCAGCTTAGATAGCTAACATTTTGTTAAGCCATCTGTTAGTCCTGACTCCTGAGAGCTTTCTGTTTTAATTGTTAGAAGCAGTTTCTTTTCTGTTTAACGTAGCTGTCACTTGTACTATTTCATTGTTCTTGTTTGGGATCTAGTTAAGCTTCATCAATAGAGCTTCTTTCCCGACGTGTATTTTTATTGAAATTCTCTTAATATCCCAATTCAGTTTCATATTCTATTCTCTGTTAACATCAATAAGGAATCAGAGAATACTTTGAAGTTTCTGCACCTCTGCTATATCTTCTCCCTTTCAATTTCTACTCCTTTTCTAGGACTAGACCCCAATCCCTTTATTTCTCCATCAATCTGATGGATCACATTTCACTTTGGTTAATCAACCACTCAATGGATCAAACTATCATATACACATGGAGTCGTGCGATGGAGGTTAGCCCTTTCAGAGTTTCATCAAGAACAAGACTGGTTTTATTGATGGATCCATTCCAAAACCTCCGGTAGATGGTCCTACAATGCCATTTCTAAATAGACAATTCCAAGCTTAATATTCTCTTATGCTGATGAAATTTGGCAAGATCTCAAAGATGGATTTCAACCGAAACATGGTGTAAGGATTTTTCAACTTACTAAAAGAACTCATGGGTAATACTCAAAAATTGAGTTCTGTTAGAGTAATTAGTTTACTGAAGTCAAGATCATATGGAAGGAGTTATCTTCTTAAAAACCAGTTTTTGCTTGTACTTGTGGAGCATTAACCACAAATGCTAGAATATATTCCTAAAATATTCCGAAGCATATTTTGAAACTATTCTACTCCGTATTATAATTCACACTCCTCATGGCCAGCCACACGGGGGTGGGTGGAATCTTATACGCAACACGGGGGTTTGAGTATAAAAGGGGATTTTTGTTCCCCTAAAGCTTTGGTTGAGCAATATTTACTTTTCCGGTCAATGATTAGTGACATAAATTCTCTTTATTTAGTCTTGTTCTTAGTTATGAATTGCAGTATCATAGAATCATTGATGGCTGGATTTGAAGCATGATCGGTTATAAACATTGATAAGCCACCAGGACTATGAGCACATGTAAATCGACTTAGAGAGATCAAAGGTAGTGGCGGATTTGGAGCATAAATTTTGGATGTTCAATGTTTTTTTATAACTAGATATTTAAAGAGTAATAAATAAATATAATAAATTTACACATATATACCTACAATTTTTTTTTTAAAAGGGTGTTCATGTGAACTACTTTGAACAAGAGTGGCTCCGCCACTGATCAAAGGCGTTCCTGGTCACGTTTAAGCACACTTTCCAACCCGCTAAGAGATCAACACATATATGGAAGCTGTATGCTCTCTTGTTTAAAAATGATTGAAGCATATCGCAAAGAGATTGGCTTTGCTTCCCAGATTGTGGCACTTTATGATGCGAGAGTAGTAAAACATAGCATTTGAAGCATTGATCGTTTTAAAGAATTTTATGTTATCAACCCAGTATCATTTTATGAAACTAATTTTCCCTGGAACTGATCCCTATGCCCTCTCTTGATTCTAATCATTATGGTTGTGAGCTTTTATGCACTTTAAGTTTTTTGTGACAAAGCTTGCACAAACGTTTTTGCGCTTCTTTCTTCGAATCGCTGAATAAAATTGACACTCAATTCTCATTTTCCTTTCACTTGTAGAAGATACTCTTATACATCAACCTATTTTTCAAAATCGAAGTGTGAGAAAACCAATATTTGCAATGGAGTCAAAGATTCATTATTTTTTGACTTGAGATTCATCATTTTCATCATTTTCATTTACCCCAGTGCCGCAAAGGCTCCCACCTACGGTGGGGTAAGTGGGGGTCGGATGTACGCAGTCTTACCCCTGTACTAAAGCACAGAGAGACTGTTTCCGGATGACCCATAGTGAAAATCGCGTCCAAAATTGCATGGACTGACTGCTGCTCCATAACAAAGAAGCGCAGACAGTTTAGTGAGCCATTTTTTGGCTTGAGATTATGATGGAATAAAGCAAAATGGCTCACTAAACTGTCTGCGCTTCTTTGTTATGAAGAGTCCATGAAATTTTGGACGGGATTTTCACTATGGGTCATCCGGAAACAGTCTCTCCGTGCTTTAGTACAGGGGTAAGACTGCGTACATCTGACCTCCTTATCCCACCGTAGGTGTGAAAACCAATATATCCAGCATTATTGCCTATAACAGGAATATTCGTCAAACCTTTCTTTCTCTATGTTCTGTTCCTGGTGTTGTTTTGTACTCTCTCTGCACTTGAGAGAATAGACTTATTTTCCCTTTTCATTTCTTTTGCAGCTTGTGCATTTGAATCAAGTTGGAAACAACATTCAAAGAAATTACCACGTAAAGAAAAAGGCAATGTGCTACAGAAGCTAGAAGAATGTAAATCGGTCATGTTACTGGAACATAGATACGCAGCTCTAGATGAAGTCAAAAAAATTGTGGATTGCAGTAACTTATTATTCAATTGCTATTCTAATCTCCATTATTGATCCAGCGACTGCTTTGGCATTTCCACCATTTGTAAATCAGATGCATTACCATGCATATGCATGTATCTATGATATGGGCAGATACTTTAGTACTACGTATAATCTTGTTGATAATTTGTTTAATACATTTCTTGTAGATAAAAGGAAATAATAGCTCCAATTGTACTATACTCCAAGTGTATGAGAATATCCAAAGGTTGGATTGGAGTGAAAGTAAAGACGAAATTCCTTGAGTAAGATTAAAACATGTATAAAGGGCAAAAGTAGGCCCTTCATTCTTTTCCTTTTTTTGATAATCCAGGTGTCGGGGTTTACGCTACCATAAGAACTACCATCCAAAGTCCAAAGCCTCTAGACATTAAATCCGGATCTGATCTCGACCGCTGAGCAACTCCGTGAAGGTAGGAAGACTCATTGAGAGCAAGACCTTTCTCATCTCCCCTTGGTGGGAATTGAACCCAAGACCTCCCACAAAAGAGAAACTTGAGGGTGGATGACCATCCATTGGACTACACCCACCAACCCAACCCTTCATTCTTTTCCTCTTAATATAGAATTGACTTCATTCTAATTAGGAAAGTTTCATACATTTAGTACAATCAAATAAGTTCTATTTTGAGGATAAAACATAGTTAATCCTATTTTTCAATTCTAGTATAGAAGTACTCAATACGTTGCTTTTATATTTTCTTTCACCTTTAGAATTTAGATAGGCTTGGAGAGGCATCTTGCATTTTACAAAAGTTGATAATTTAATAATAGGAATGGAGAAAATGTCATAATGGGTATTTCAATGATACAATGTGCATGTTCATATGTGACACTAAAGAGACACACAAAAGAATAAACTAATGTCATTTGTGTTTTCTTCTTTCCATGGTTTTTCTAGATATTTCACTTGACATTGTGAAGAGAAACTTATTAAAAATAAGACAGTTCCAATAAGGAAACATGTATTTTATTTAATAATTTTTATATGTCTATCTTTTATCTAGTATATACATTGATGGAGTATATGGCCCGGGAACCCCCGGCCCACAGACTCCTACTACTCCAGCGAAGGCCCAACAGGCCCAGAAGGCCCAACAGGCCCAGAAGGCCCAACAGGCCCAAATCACAGCGCCCAGAGTACCAAGCAGCCCGCACTACGCGCCAGGGGTGTCTTCGGCCCCCTGGCCGAAGGCTCTAAACTCTCACAGAACGGGTTTCTCAAGCAAATTAAGAAACTGGGAGAAAACGGCGAAAACAGTAGCCCTCGGCACTGTGAGCCCTCGGCACCAGGGTGCCATCGGTTGGAGGAGCCCTCGGCTACTGCTCTATAGCCGAAGGCATCTCACTCGACAAGATATCCGCCTCACATGCGTACAGATCACCGTACCCTGCACAGACGTCCCATCCAACAGCCGCATTAAATGCAGCCGCATGCGGCTGCCAGCGCCAACCGGTTGAGGTGACCCCTCGGCCAATGAGCGCCTGACACGTGTCCCTGTCCGGCATTTATTACTACTATAAATAGCACCCCATTTCCCCATTTGTAACCACGCTGAAAACGCTCCACATTTATAATACACTCTCTCTCTCTACATTTACTTGCTCTGACTTCTCTCTAAGTTATTCCCCGCAATAACCCTTCGGATACATACCCTCGGGTACACTATCCATCATTTGGTGCTCTCGTTGAGAGGTCGAACAATCGAGTAAGAAACCCTCCCCCTTCACCAAACACTAGCCCTCTACCAAAATGGTGAGAACAACACGTGCCAACTCCAAAAACGTAGAAGACAAGAACCTGGCCCTCGGCGACGTCAACGCCCCCGAAGCCTCTCATAGGGCTCCCGAGGGCGGTGTCATCGCTGGGATGGAACAGGCGGCTGTCGACCTACGCCTTCAGATCCAACAAAATGCCCCTGATGCCCGCCTCGGCATCGAGGCCAAGAAGAAAAACCGGAGCGATGACCAAGTCAGCCCTCCGGTTCTCACCATCGACGTACAATCGGCGCTCTCCGCCTTCATCCAAACGCTCACTCAGAACCCGGGTGCCTTCGGCACCCTGGCTCCGGCTCACCCCCAGGTTGGGGAAAACATCATACTTCCTCCTCCGCCACACCCCTTCGGAAATCCCACCCCTCGGGTGAGGAACGACGAAGGGGTAGTGGCCCAGGACACGTCCTCCCAGGAAGTACAGTCCCGGGATCGCCACAATGACAACAGGGAGAGGCCCCGCACTTCCGCCCTCAACCGGCTCGGAGGAGGGCCAGACCGCCGAGGGGTCCAAGACCGCCTCAGAGGAAAGGCACTCCAAAGGCCCCAGGAAAGTGGAGGGTCTGTCTCGAGGGCAGACGAGGAGCGTCCCCCTCGGGACAAGGGCAAGGCACCCCTTCATGCCAATGATGCTCGCCACCAAATCAACCAGGCCAACTCGGCCCGGGTTCGTTCGCAGGGGGCGGAGACCCTCCCGAAGGATCCCCGGGACGAGATTATCGCGGCCCTCCAACGCCGGCTTGACGAAATGGAGTCCAACAAGGCTCACGCCACCACCTCCACCCCTCATTCAGATCTCAAATACGAGGCCATGATGGCCAAAATGGAGGAGTTACAGAAGAAGGTGGCCGAGGGCTCCGAGGAACCTGTCATCCAGCTACGGACCCGGACGCCATTTACCCCAAGGGTATTGGCGGCCCGGATCCCGGAAAAATACCGAGGGCAGCACATACAGCCCTACAACGGGAAGACGGACCCCCAGGAACACTACAGCAAATATCAAAACTGCATGATGATGGTAGGGGCATCAGACGAATATTTGTGTCGCTGGTTCCTCTCCACCTTAGAGGGGCCGGCATACGAGTGGTTCAACAGGCTGCCCGAGGGCTGCATTGATTCATGGCAAGAACTCGCCTAGCGATTCTTGACACAATTTGCCGGGAGGCGTCGCACAAGGAAGCACTTCTCCCACCTCCTAACAATACGCCAAAAGAGGGATGAGACCCTTCGGGACTTCCTGGAGCGATGGAGGACGGAAGCCGGCAAAGTCGACGGTGCTGATGACGGGACCCTCCTGGCCCTCCTACAAACCGTCCTCCGCACCGACAACTTTTCGAGGAGCCTCATCATTGAACCCCCCCGCGACTACATAAGGGCCTTGCAGCGGGGGGACCGATATGCTGAGGCCGAGGAGGTAGAAAAATATCATCAACATCCGGATCAGCAGCCCCCGAGGGCTGACAACAAAAACAACCGAGGGTCGGGGGCTCCTCCGAATCACCCCAAACCATCAGGACCCTCTGATGACCGCCCTCGGCAAGGCCAAGCCAAGCCCGGGGGAGGTTATAAGAGCAACCCTAAGACTTGGGCCCAGCCCATTCTCCTGGACCGCCCTCGGACACCATTGACGCACCCCGTCAGCATCATCCTTGATTTTGCCGAGGAGAGGGGCCTCGTTGAGCGCGACTCTCGCGCACCCCCGGAGGTACATGCTATCAACCCTCAGTTCCCATACTGTCGCTTCCATCGGCACCAGGGGCACAGAATCGATGACTGCCATCAGCTAAAAACGGCCATCGAGAGGTTAATACAAGCGGGACACCTGTCCCAATTTGTTCAGAGCCCTCGGCAGGAGGGACCTTCTCATCAGGGACCTCCCCGAGGGCACCACACGAAGGTGAACGCTTGGGTGAACCCGAACACCATCCCCCTCGGCAAGAAGAGGGAGATCGGAAACTTGGAGGAAGAAGAGGAGGAGTACCCCCACTACCAGGAGAAAAAACGCCACATCCTCATGATCACCGGTGGCAATACTGGGGGCGATTCCACCAGCCAACGAAAGAAGTTGGCTCAATCACTTTACGTAGGGGAAGTCACTCATATGCCCCCGGTAAAGCGACTGAGGGAGGAACCCATCACCTTCACCAACGCAGATTTCCCTCCTGCTTCTTCCCCTCACAGGGATGCCTTGGTGATTCGGACCGAAATAAACGACACCATTATTCACCGAACTTACATTGACACGAGCAGCTCCATCAATGTAATGTACCTCAGCACCTTCAGAGAGCTGCATCTGGAGAGGGGGTCCCTTAGGCCCATTAAGACCCCTCTTGCCGGCTTCACCGGCGACACTATTGATTCCGAGGGGGTAATAACCCTCCCGGTGATCTTCGGCGACGGGCTCCATAGAGCCCAACTCGAGGTGGAGTTCGTCGTCGTCAACATTGACTGCGCCGCCCACAACATCATCCTCGGCCGGCCAGCCCTCGAGGACCTCGAGGCCATCATCTCCATGAGGCACCTCTACCTCAAGTTTCCCGCCGAGGGGGGCATTGGCTACTCCCGAGGGAATCAGAAAATTGCCCGCGCCTGCTATCTTCAAGTCACTAAGAAGGTAAGTAAGACGGAATTCCGTGTTGACACCATCACCGGAACCATCGACCAAGAGGAAAGAAGGCCGAGGGCTGAACCGGCCGAGGACGTAGAAGACTTTGCGCTCGATCCGGCCCAGTCGGAGAGAGTCGTGAAGATTGGAGCCCAGCTCCCTGAAGATTTGAAGACCGGTATCACCGACGCCCTCCGCGCCTACTCCACTGTCTTTGCATGGGGGTCGGAGGACATGCCGGGAATCAGCCGAAGGGTCATCACCCACCGCCTCTCGGTGGACCCCTCGGCAAAAGCAGTACAACAACGAAGAAGACCCCTCTTCGCCGAGAGGAGGGAATTTGTGAAGAAGGAGGTCGCCATGCTCCTCTCAATTAAGCACATCAAGGAGGTGAAATACCCCTCGTGGCTAGCAAATATATTCCTCGCACAGAAGCCCCCTACCTTCCGCATGTGCGTGGACTACACCGATCTCAACAAGGCGTGCCCTATGGATCCATTCCCTCTACCAAACATTGATCAACTGGTGGATGAGACCGCAGGGTGTGAGATCATGTCCTTCCTCGATGCCTTCCGAGGGTATCACCAAATTTTCATGCACGAGGAAGACGCCGAAAAAACTGCCTTCATGACTCCCGAGGGCGTCTTCTGCTACCTAGTCATGGCCTTCGACCTAAAGAACTCAGGGGCCACCTACACCCGGATGGTGGCCCGGGTCTTTCAAGCCGTCCTAGGGCGCACCATGGAGGCCTATGTTGACGACATGATCGTCAAAAGCAAACAATCTTCCAGCCATGCTGACGACCTCCGGGAAATCTTCGCCATCATGCAAAAATTCAACCTTCGGCTAAACCCGA